CCCCTCTGGATCCAGGCCTGCAGGTGGGTTCGCGAGCAAGCACCTGGTGGCCAGCTCTACACCCATGGGGCCCGCCCAAGCTCAGCCTGAAGAGACAACATGGGTCCTCCTTCCCACCACCTGTGGGAGGGGCCAAAGGTGTCGGGCGCTTTGTGAGCTGGGTGAAGGCGGGGACCTTCGCGGTCTGATCCCCGGCTACAGAAGCTAGTTCTAGGGACATGGAATGTCACCTCTCTTGCAGGGAAGGAATCCGAGCTGGTGTCCGAGGCAGAGAAGTTCCGACTTGACATCGTCTGACTTGCTTTGACACTCAGCCTGGACTCTGGTACCAGTTCTCTCGAGAGGGGTTGGACTCTTTCCACTCTGGAGTTGCCCACAGTGAGAGGCATAGAGCAGGTGTGGGCATACTCATTGCCCCCGAGCTCAGTACTTGTACATTGGGGTTCACACCGGTGGACAAGAGGGTAGCCTCCCTCCGGCTATGAGTGGGGGGACGGGTCCTGGCTATTGTTTGTGCTTATGCACCAAACAGAAGCTCAGAGTCGAAGGCGCTCCTCCTGGGGGCTCCCCCGTTTTGCCGGGGGACTTAAATTCTGACGTGGGCAATGACAGTGAGAAGTGAAGAGTCTGAAGAAGGGGATGGGATGAGCAAAGTCTGAGCTTCTGTGCTAAAGCTGTTGCCCCCACAACCCGACCCCAGATAAGCGGTAGAAAATGGATGGATGGAAGTCTGACAAATCAGTGATGGGAAGCTCTTCATTATTTTGGAAAATATTGACTTTTACATCAGCCGCTGATGGTGTAGTGGTACACTCACCCGACTTGTGTGCGGGTAGCGTGTGATTGGCTCCCACTCAGTAACGGTGTGATTGTGGGTGTGAATGGTTGCTTGTCTCTCTATGTCCCCTGCGACTGACTCGCGACCAGTTCAGGGTGTAGTCTCCCTTCTGCCCGAGGTCAGCTGGGATAGGCTCCAGCAACTCCCCGCAGCCCTCTTCAGGATAAGCGGTGTTGAAAATGGATGGATGGATGGATGGACTGTTGCATAAATAGCACAACTCTAGATTCTAAAAAGATTCAAATCAAAAGCAGTATCAAATCATCTGCATTCATCATTCTCCTTTTTCATTGACACTGGCATGAGGTATTCATTTAACAATGTGCTTGTCATGTTCCGTATTCGACGGCAGGTGGCAGGCACTCACTCTGCCACCTGCACACCTGTTGCGCATTTGTTTTTGATTGCACCTGCTACATCTAGGCGCTCCGGCTGTCAACTCATTGCCGGAGTATTGCTTGCCGTGCCACTGCTATTGCCCATGCTCGTATTTGCTTGTCTCTCTATGTCCCCTGCGACTGACTCGCGACCAGTTCAGGGTGTAGTCTCCCTTCTGCCCGAGGTCAGCTGGGATAGGCTCCAGCAACTCCCCGCAGCCCTCTTCAGGATAAGCGGTGTTGAAAATGGATGGATGGATGGATGGACTGTTGCATAAATAGCACAACTCTAGATTCTAAAAAGATTCAAATCAAAAGCAGTATCAAATCATCTGCATTCATCATTCTCCTTTTTCATTGACACTGGCATGAGGTATTCATTTAACAATGTGCTAATAATTGTGGCTATAACTGTACATGTTCCATCTCTTTTGGAAACAGACACACACAATTGTTTTTCTATATTTTTTGGGGGGAGATAATAACATTTTAGTTGAGTTAGGTGTGTATATATTTTAGAGCTGTCAGTTTAGCGCGTTTTTATTGGCATGAATTTAAATGAATTTTCACGGGATTAAATTTTTTCTCGCGAGATTAACGCAGCAGACGTCACAGCGGATGTTACGTTGCTCTATAAATAAACCAGAAACAAAACAACAAGCGCGCTGCACATGTCCACGCACGTTTGTTTTGCCAACCACGGCAGCGCGAGACACCGAAAACGGATACTTAAAGAGTTTATGAATGGAAAGTTTACTTTTAAAAAGTTGCCAGATTGTTCCACTGACAAGACCAAAGTTACCTGTATGTTTTGCAGTCGTAAACTGAG